ACATAGGCAAAGTTGGACATGCCAAATATGGCATAGATGAACATGACCAGGAAGAGCAGCAGACCAATGTTGAACAGAGCAGGAAGAGACATCATCAAAGCAAAAAGCAGAGTGCGGATTCCCTTGGCGCCTTTAATGAGGCGCAGGATTCGACCGATTCTGGCAAGTCGGATGACTCTGAATAGAGTGGGGGACACGAAGTACTTCTCAATCATCTCAGCTAAAAACATTCCTAAGAAAGAAAAGAAGAAAACCAAGACACACTATCACTTAATCTCCATATCAAAATAGAAATTTAGAAAAATAGTTTTAAAATTGTCGGTTCTGTGTAGCAATCAAAGATATTCTGTAGATTCCACTTGAATAGTTTCTGTTATAGAAGTTAATAGTTGCAGGTGCAATATATGTTGAATGATTATAACAGTTTTGATGGCTGGTTTAGCTAAATTATGAGATAAAACAAAAAGTTGAATGCCTTGGTTGATAAATCTTGCAAAGGCAAAAGCTAACCATATAAGCTTTTTAAAAGTAAAAATTCAACTCATACTCATTTCACCTTCTTTTTACTTTAATAAACAAGACTTACCTACTATTGAGAGAATGACAACTACAAAATCAAAAATGTTCCAGCCTATAGTGAAGTAGTAATGGCGAAGTGAAATTAATTTCAGGACACATTCTCCAGTGAAAAGAACAATGAACACCAGGTTTATCCAGTATAAAATATTTTCCATTTCTTTACTCTGGTCATCGGTTTCTACCATCATGGTAACCATGTTAAGACAAATAAGAATCATGATGCTGATGTCAAATACTTGCTGTGTCACAAAATCAAAGACCATGCCTTGGAATTTATTCTGAGGAAGAAAGTAAAAAAGATACATTCAATACAAACTGTAATTTTTTTTCTTTTCCTGTTAAAAGAAAGTAGAAAAACACATGCAGTAAGGCCTGAGACTTCAATAAAAATGTAGTCTAGTGGTACTTAAGACTAGTGGTCTTGAATACTCAAATACAGTGGCTTAGCTCAGCCTCCTCAGTTGCATATTCATACATAAAATGGTTGTCAGAGAAAATACTTTTTTCTGTGTTTTTATTTTCCATTTCTGCTGACTAATACACAGGTAATGGTAATTTTCACGTGGGCATATTTCTACTCTCTCTATATCAGTAAAAACTCTTTGTAAATAGCTATTGGTCTGATGTGTATAAATAATTTTACCCCTGGTCTTGGTATAGGTTTTTGTGGTTTTTTGGATCCCAGCTTTTTCATTGCATTGTAGTATTTCTTCTGCTCTTCTGTCATAAATATGTCTTGACCTCCAAAGTAAAAACATGAAATCAAAACTGGTTATAATCACATTCATATGCAGTGCTGAAAAAACTCTTAGAAAAATATGATTGATTGATTGATTTAATGAAAATCAGGAACACTGAATTGGGAAAAATCTCTTAGCTAGCAAATGCAGCTGTCTGTCCAATATAAACATTTAGTCTAGAAGTTGTCTGGGCATCCAGTACTGCATCTCACAAAAAAACAAAAGCAATGCAACATTTTTCTACAGTTATTTTCCTTGAACTACAAGAAATCATTTTCAGTACCTCTTTTATAGGAAGAGATACAGTAAATAGTATTTGAGAGAAGCTCAAATAGTCTGGACTGCTCAGTACTGTCACTTCTTCAATTTTAGTGAAACAAAGGAAGCAGACAAAGTCAGGTTTTCAGAACAGGAATGTGTTAGTGCTTTAGGTATTTCTAGCAATCATAATTGGGACTTAAAGTCTTCAAGGTTTTTGAGAAGATGGATTATCAGGCTTTTGAGAAACTTAGCTAAAGATTGAAGCACTCTTGATACTGTTAAGAGCAAAATGTTCTCTTTTATCTTGATTAGTTTCCATGTCCAGTGTAGTTCAGTTTAGCAAAAGCCTGAACAGGCATGTGGAGTTTGACAGTAACAATAGAGAACTATGGGTCTTTCATGGCAACCTAGGCAAAATCCATAGTAACCTCCTTTTAGGGACAACTTGAATGAAAACCTATCAGACTTCCCATACCTCTTGAAGAAAAGTTTTCCTTGATAAAAATACTTGCAGACATCTAATTCCAGGAATGTCAATGCATGCATGGGACTGGATACAGCCCTTTGTGGATGAGTGCATGGGAAGCTTGAAGACATGGGATTGCATGGACTCCAAGCTGGACAGGCTCTCTCACCATATACCTCTAGGTCTCTACCATGTACAGCTTCCAAAATCTTACTTAGCATCTCTCATTGTTAATATAAACCTGAAGAAAGTGATGCAGTCCAGTAAAGCAAAAGTAAACTAGTAATTCATAGCTGCTTTTGTCCTTATGTCCCTTGCTTTATCTATTTACAAAAAATAATTTTAAAGATGAGCATTTATAGTCAGACCATCTATGCCAGTGAGATTATCTACATTTGCACTGTGAAACAAAAAAACAAGGCCCTGAGATAGTTACAAACCACTCCTGCCACAAGTGGTTAAGATTGTTCAGGGCCACAAAATAGAACTTGAATACTTGGGTTCATTAAAACAGTATCTGTAGTGACCATTAAAACAGCACCTGAAGTTATGTAATGAAATAATGCTTTATGTTTCAAGACCAGATAGTTATTTTTTTGTGTGCTGATAGAATAACTACAAATCAAGAAAAAAAAAATTAAAGAAATTATGAATGTTTTGATGTAGAGACCTAAGTCAGGGGTTTGATCATGCAAGGAGATTTCATGAAGTTTAGGCATGGAAAAGCAGATGACTTGAGAAAGAACCAAACTGGACATTGACAACAGAAGGATCTGTCCCATTCACTACAATGAAAAATCACACAATGTTAGTGCCTACTAGAGGTATGATTTTACATCCTAATATGCTTCAGTGTTTTCCATTTTGAACAAACCATGTGTGTACTTTCCATACATCATGCACCTGCAAAAATGCAATATTTTAGAATATCTTTAGAAGGGGAATGAAACAATACTTATCTTCTTCTTTTGCTGATTGAAGTTATCAATAATGACACCAATGAACAAGTTCAGGGTGAAAAAAGACCCAAAAATAATAAAGATGACAAAATACAAATACATGTACAGGTTGTCTTCATACTTGGGTTGCTGTAATACCTAAGGAAAAAAAAAAAGTGAAATACCATTACTAAGATTTCGTGTGAAAACTTCAACTGAACAAGTGGCAACCTTGCATAACATGTCACCAATATTTTGTGTTTGGACAATACTCCTATCACATTTATCAACATATTTTATCTATTCCATCTCTATAGCTGAGAGGTCACCTGTCAGTTTGCATTCAGCATTCCACATTTTTTTACCACAGAATCTCATACTAATTAATTTATTTTTTCATTCTTTTGTGTGGATATTAATTGCTTATGTAAAACATTTGTTGATAGACAGACCTCAAGAAAAAAAATGTAATTTGAAATATTTGCAGTACTTACGTCTCTTGAGTCAATAGCTGCGTACATAATATCCATCCAGCCTTTAAATGTAGCCTGTAAACAGTACACACCTGTTTAAGCATAAAGCTTGAAGAGAACTCATTTAATAATTTTCAGCAACTCAGTACAGCACCAGGAATAATTAGCATAATATTAGATTTCTGAGAATTTTGTCTCTTGACTTTCTACAGAGCTGCTCATCAGATATACTGCTGTGTATCCTGCTAGTTTGTCTTTATATGATAATTTTAAGCAGTAAGCGTAATCAACTGATTTCTGATTTCTAATTAATTATCAAAAATCATGGAAGGCAGTATCATTTTATTTCATCAAATCATGTCAACTGCAAAGACTGAGAAGTGGCCTTATGTAACTGAGTTGCCACCAATGAAGACTGATATGTAGTTCCTCCCTCTCAAGTCAAAAGGTGGCAATGAAAGGGAACCAAACATTTGATCAGCTCAAAAGAGGTATTTTCCTATCAACCAGAATTTAGATTTTTCTATACTTTGAAAGATTATACCTGATTTAATACTTCTATTTTCACAAGTGTTTTATGTGCATTGAATACTTCATATGCCTCACAGATGACAGCATTTAGTGACATTTTATAGCCATTTCCTCTGCCCAGAATCCATAAATTTTTATATTTGATGGTTAAGTGTAAATTGCTTAATCTGGGAGTTCATACAGAAAGTAATTTTCTCTGTTGTAGCAATTAGCTTTTAACTAGACAATATCTCCAAATCACTCATTTTTTAATCCAGTTGTGCTCAAAATAAAGCAAAGAAGTAGACAGTTCTCTGTCATTCAATCCTCATTATAATTTTGCTAAGCAAGGCTGCAGATCATTGGTTCCTTCATATTTCTTGCCATAGAGAGCAGTTGCAGAATGGAAGCAGGAGTGGAACACTCTTCATCCATGGTTATTGCCACCATCATCTTGAGGTTTAATTTCTAGTGGAAGTTTCAAAAACCCTTTGCTTATGCAGCAGTTTGGCATCATCCTGAATTGAACTTAAGAAGAAATTATTCTCCTGTAGGAAAAGAAGTCCTTACACACTTTTGAAACAGTGGAATACTGAAAAGACCATGATTATCCTTAGATGCAAATCCAGTATGCAGCAACTTTCACATCGTGGGGTCAACACAGAAAATACGAAGTTCAGGCAATGGTGAAACCAAAGTGTAGTATCAGAGGACCAATAAATCAATAAATCTGAAAAAGTAGAAGTCTCAGCTAAAGAATTTCAAGTCCATTTGGAATACTCAGACTGCAAGGGATTAGGAGAAGTTGATTGGCTTTATTTATGTAATTACTAATATGTGCTTAACTTGTTCTCAAAGGCTTATAATGGTGAACACTCCACAACCATATAAAAATATTTATTCCAGATCTTGCTTATATTGTTTCTTAATACTTACATCTTTCTGTTGCCATTTAAGACTGTCACTTGTCATAGTCATTACATATCTGAAGAACAGTATTAATCACCTTCATGCAGCATCTTTTACTTATTTGGAAACTGATTGTTGCTGCCTTTCTTCTTTAGGCAGGGATCACTCTTCCTTCAGTCTTCCCACATAGATCTTGTTTTCCAGACCTCAGATCATTCTCCTTTTCTCCTTTGAGCTCTCTTACACTAGTTCATCTCTTGAAATGACAATCAAAACGTGACTCAGTATTTCATCCAACGAGGTCTAAACAGGGCAGGATTTACTTCATGTCTTACAGAGCTACTTTTGTTTCTGTCTTGGTACACTATTTGCATTTTTTTGGAATGTCATAACTTGAAATCAGCACTTCAACCTGAAACACTAAATGCAAATAGTTGGCATACTTTTACATCAGAAAGATGATGCAAATGATGGAGTGGCACTTCTGCAAAGTGTGTGTTGTTGCCTCAGTTTCAGACATATGATGATCTTTGTATATCATCCTCCAGGCAAAATGGAATTATTATTGTTTTTTTGTAAATTTATTGGGGTAACCTAGACTAGAGTGAATGAAGAAGAAAATAGACTAATTTTAAAATATTAAGCTTCACCATGATCAGTAAAGTACTGCACTATAAACAGACAGGACCTTTCAGCTAGTGTTAGAAAACTGAAGAACTGAGCTTTATTATTGCTGTTGCTGTTGTTAAAAAGGAAACTTGAAAAGACTGTGGGCATGGAAAAATAGAGGTATAACACATTACTATCTTGTGTTTTCCACAATGAGTTTCACAAAACTGTAAGACGTTACAATTATTGAAGGAATTAGAAAATGAAGTCAAATCATTACATTTAGTGATAGCATTATTTCTACTGTAGATGTGTAGGCCTCCTTATATTTATCTGCAATATGTTTTCTTTATCAGAAATAAGATATCATTTGAGTATTTGTGCATACTGAATAGAAAATAACACAGAAAATGACAGGAGATCAAATTATTAGTTTCCTTTTTGCATATTACCATGTCAAATATATTGTATATTTTCAGTGACAGTAAATCAGGAGTAATTAATTGATTTCAGAGATTACAGCAGTATAACTGAAATCAGCATCTGTTCCAAATTTTTTCCCTAAGGAAATTTCAATGACACATATTCAAATGCAGATTCAAATGTAGTGGGAAAAAACAACAGAACAAAAATCCCCCTTCTCTTTTAGTATTGGTAAAAGTACACAGACTTTTTTAATGAAGTTGTAAGTCATGCTGGAGTTTCACTACTCAATTTCTTTACCAGAAATAACAACCAGGAAGATTCCCTTTTGGAGATACAATAGCATCTTGCTTTTATAACACTGACCTGCTAGAACTTTAGAGGTAACCTATACTTCTAGACCTAGAATTCAACTTCTGATTTTTTTACCCTACACTTCACAAGATGCATTTTCTTACTGATACTAACAGCAGTATAATATAATATTGTGCTTTGAGACCCACTGGTTTGCCACATTTTATCCTGGTAAGCAGGGTATAGCTTACTAGCAGGATAAAATCAGGCCTCTGTGAGATTTACTTACCAAAAAATCCAACCACTAGGTTCAAGTTAAAAGGCATAAGGCCATAAAATTATCAGGGCAGATGCCACATCTCTGTGTACACCAGCCTCTTCCTCTTCACTCACTGATGCATGTCAATTGTGAAAGGAATTTCTCCAGCATATCTGTCTCTGCTTTGATGCTTCTCTTTAGGGACAGAGAAATACTCAAGCAAGTTCAGACCAAGAAATGAAAAAAGAAGCTTGAAGATCCACACAAACCAACAAGATCTATGCTGCACCATGAAGAAAAAAATTCTTATAGAGAGAATGTGAACTTATGTGACTGATGGCATAAGTACTTATGCTCCAAATTTTGTAAGAATTCTGGAAAAACGTCTCATCAACAAAGTATATAAAACTTGGTTTTATCAATGACATATATGGTTAGCCTGTATTTCTGGGCAGTAAGAATTGTAACATTGCTATAATACTAAAGATTTTCCACACACACCTCTCCCCCGAAAGAAAAAAAACCCAAAACCAAATGCCAACAAAAAATAAGGTTATGTTGTTTTCTTTGGCCCCTCATTCCAGAAATTCATTTGCCAGCACTACCAAGTAAACTCAAGAAAGAGCTTATCAGAGAGTTATTTTTGTTTAAAATGCTACTATGACACATTTCTATTTTTTGAGGCCACAATACTTCTTTCTGAAATTTTCCCACAATTTTTGAATGCCTCTGTGTGAAATATCTATGTTTCTTTTCTATAAAACTCTTTAAAAAAAATAAGGGTTTTCTGAGATGAACAGACCCATCTACTACCAGAAATATTAAAAAAAAGTTTTTCAGAGGGACTCATTTATGTCTTTCCCAGAATAGTAGGATCCTCAGTGCCCAGGTTTGGAGTTTTGGAGTCCTTTTGACTTGGTTTCGTTTCCACTTTTTGTCATGAAAATGGTACTGTTTCCAGTAGTATTCACTCAAGATAGTGATACAGAAAGTAACCCAGAAAAGCTGAAGGGATTTACAACGTTCTTTAACTCATGCAAAAGGCACAAGTCTGAGGGCAGAACGGAGAATAGAAATAATACTGGGGAATAAGAGGAAGCTTTCTGTAGTTAGTTTCTAGACTCCTGAAGATAGGGACCTTGTATCAGTAATTCACGCATTGATACTTATCATGGAGATTGTCATCAGAAAGATGACATTGGCCTCTATGAGGTCATTTTCTCAGGTCCATCATAACCTAACAATAGTCTATGCCAGAAGTTGTTAAGGTGGAGAACAAAATGACTTCAGTAGACTTCTCAACTAATCATTAAGATGTTTTAAAAAGTCCATTAATGTTCACATTAGGTTCCCAAAAAGCATATCCATTTGCAAGCATGATTTTATAATCAGATTTTTCAGGCTCAGTATCTTATTTTAGGCCAAATGCTAAAGTTTCAATAGCTTTATCTTTCTTTCTGACGTAGTAATGTATACCTCTCTTTGAGTAATACCTTAGTATTTAATCATCTTTACTATTGCTGCAAGCTCTTTAGGAAGGGTAGGTAAATCAAGGACAATGACGCATCTATCCAATTTTCTTTTGGGCATGATGGCTTTGCAGTCCCGTTCTAGAGTCATTCCAAGTACTTTATACATCAAATAGAAAATCACCTTATAACTGTCTTCTTTGATAGAGAAAGCAATGTTTGAATCTCAAACTTTTATGAATTTTGTTTTGAAGGTGAAAAAACATAGAGTTTGCACATTATAACACATTAATTGAAAATCAAGCTGATATTTTTCTTTCTTTGCCCTAGGGTTCTTATCATTCCATAACTGCAAAATTATTACTGGTAGCTTACTTACCAAACCTTAAAAGATGCAGGGCCAAGTGTCTATTTTGTGTAAACAGAGAAGTGCCCCTTTTTTTTCTGGTATGTCAAACAAAAAAACCTTTCATGCTTTTAGAGGCATTTTAGCAATATCTGGACATTCTACTTACGCAAAAAAACCCATAATTTTTGAGTTTTGTTGATGTCTTGTTTATCCTGAACATGTGTAATAAAATATTCTGCTCTCTGGGTCAGTGGATTTTATAAATAAGGCAAAGAAAATAAGAATTTAAAGTCTTTCTATTACAATAAAACTTTTTTATCAAAACCAAGTAGTATTCAGTAGTTTACTTCTTTAATACTGTTGGGCCCTCTCCCCTCTTTCCTGATGTGACAGTAAAGTAAATAATCATAATGAAATGATTATTCAAATTGTCAGAGTTATCAGTCACACAGGTAAGATGATATCTGGGAGAGGCAGTTCACATGTTTTAGACTTTGTGCAGGACCATGTCGATACAACTTCATCATGTTAATGATTTGTATTACTGAGATTTCATATGCCAGCATAAAAGCTAGAAACTTATTTAAAAGCTAAAAAAATGAAACCTAAGACACTACAGAATTATACAGCAACCTAAAAAAAGCCATACAGATTGTTGAAGAACACGACATACGCCAGAGTTCAGAATTTTCTTGATTAAAGCTGGATCAGCCTGTTAGCTACTTCAAAATACAAAGATAGTGTTGTGAGGACAAAATTTTTGATAGTGAATGCATAATCTTACGTAGTATCTTTCTGCATATATTTGCTTCGTTCTTCCCTTGGTTTTTGCTAAATAAACTCCACTAGGTGCTCATGCACAGAAATATCAGGGAAAATATTTCATAGATTATGGTATTCAGTGATATTTTTCTTTTCTTATTGCTCTCCTGAATGAGAAATTGCTTCTTTGATCACCTAAGTCTGCACTTGTGGCAGCCACATGACTGACATGAGATTTACCACCTGGAATTCTTCTCTGTGACTTAATCACACCAATGCAGGTGTTTATTTTTCAGCAACAGGAAAACTTGAAATATTCAGGTAGCTGAATATCATTCCTAGAAACTTTAAAAGTTGGAAGGGGCTGGAGGTCTAAGGGAACTATAAATGGGGAGAACAGCACTTCTTTCTTTAGATGTCCTAAAAATTCTTTATCCATCCTAGTAGGCTCTATTTGCTGCTTATGATGAAAAGAGTAATCAATTACCAGTGCAGTGGTATTACTAAGTCACAGATAAAAATAATCAGGTAAATGTTTTCTCTCTTTGTTGCTAGAATTTCTTTTCACTATTACATATAAACAGTAAAAGGTATATAAAGAGTGATCACTTACTACTTGAAGTAAAGAAAGATACCCAAATCCTACATTATCAAAGTTTACTTTCACGTTTTTCCATCGGGCACTTTGATTGTTTTTTATGAGTTCCTCGCACTGACTAAAATTGTTGATTTGGTCGACTTCAAACCTTTCATCAGTTGTGGTGTTAACACAGTAGTAGAACTTCCCAGCAAACAGATTTACTCCCATGATGCTGAAAATTAGCCAGAATATAAGACAAACGAGAAGCACGTTCATGATGGATGGAATTGCTCCTAAAAGGGCATTCACAACCACCTAGTACACAAATACAGGGGGAAAGAGAAAAGAGTATAAGCATATTTACAGCAATAAAGTTTTGTATACTGTTTCACCAATGCTTAATAAATCCTTGTTCAGAAACTAATGCGATAAATTTTAAAGCAATACATTAATAACTGTGGCATTGCACTGTGCTTTTAAATTATTAACATTAGTACATGTAATGAAAGGAAAATAAGCAAGAAAATGAAAATAATTAATAGAAAAACAAATGAGAAGAGCTGGTAGTCATAAGATGAAGCCTAACACCGATGTAATCTAGATAAAAAAGAAAAATGTGTTGAATGAAAATACAGACATAACAAAATTCTAAAAATGGATAAAATTATATCTTAAAAATGTCTAAATAAAAATAGCAACCTGTAGATTTGATCAACATAGCTTTGAAATTTAAGCTGAAAACACAAACGCCATGAATCTAGAAACTAAGCTCTACATTAAAAGGATTACGCATAAATTAAATACATATCTTTATTGCCTTATTGTTCCATGCAAGATTATAACAAAGATTAATTTCTTTGTATAGAAAAGCAAGACAGTTTTGCAATATGTGTCTACTTGAATCAACATAATTTATTTCAAGCTCCAGTCTTATTGTTTCATGTATTAAGTTTAAGTCAGCAACACCCTTCAGTTATCTAAAGAAGGACATATTTAGAGCTTTTGATTTGCATTTTAAATTACTTTTGGCCAGTTGCCTTCTCAGCCACTTGCAGGCAAGATGTCAATAAACCTTATGTCAATAAAAAGTGTTTTTTTGTCATATATACAGTAATTAATCGCATGTGTCTGTCAGAGCTACCAAAATTTTTGTGATGAGCAGTTATTTCTCCTTAAGTATCCAATACCAGATTCTCATTTAAAAATTTTATTTTATTTTAATTTTTTTTTTCTTTGTAAAGGTATAGTAAAATATACAGTAGGGCTCTGATTGTCAGTAATCCAAGTCCTGCAATGAGGCAGGAAAGGATTGGCATGGATACTTGGAGCATATTAAGTTGTCTTAGTCCGTCTTTGTTCCCTGCAATATAGATGCATCCTTCCCACTACCGAAATAGTTCTGAGGAAGCTCAGAACCGCTCAGTCTTACTACCTGTATTTCACAGCCTCTTG